CTGGCCCCTGGCCTTGTTCTGACTGCTGATCTCTTTCCACAGATGTAATTGATTTTATCCCTGTGTATGACATCATGTGAAGTCCACATGGAGAGTTGTCCTTTATTTCGTTGGAGGGATTTTAAAAAAGCATTTTCAATGAATAAGTCATTCTTGCAAGATTCTATGATGCAGTCTCTGGTGTCATTTCTAGCACCAAGGCCACATTTTTCCACCACGAATCCTTCTGGTTTCCAACAAAGCACGATAATTGACATTTATGAAAGGCTTCTTTTAGGCTGGGGGCTGTGCTAATAAGCACTTTCCAAAACTGATCTCATTTAATCCTTATAACAATGTATAAACAGAACAAACAAGCCCATGGCTAGCGAGTCTATTCTGACTCATTGCCACCCTATACGACTGGGTAGAACTGCCCCGTGGGTTCCTAAGACCGTGAATCTTTACCGGAGTAGAAAGCCTCATCTATCTCCTGACAGCAATGTATAGTGCCCTATATTTCAGAGTTTGAAGCCAAGTCTAAGAAGCTTAGCAACTTGCTCATTGTCGAGAGGCCACCCAGCTAGTAAGAAACAAAGGAGGGCTTCTGATTCCAAACGCCCTGGATGTCTGACTTCAGGGCCCACGTTTACAGCCACGAGAACTCACATGGCTCTCAGCTCCTACATTCGTTCACTCACTGAACAAATATTTATCTGTTAGCACAACACAGTCCCACATTTTCCCCCATACTCAAGGAATGAAGAAATGTTCTGTGAGGGACATGTTTCCAGAAATAACCCTTCTGAGTCATCGCCTCCATTGTGCTCCCCGCCCCCTCAGATGCCTACAGGGTTTCCTGTAGCTGCACCGAGTGCAAGTGTGGCCTGTTTGTCAGGGCAGTCACCCCTCCCATCATGGCGGTGAATGGGGATCACTCGTCCTTCATGTATTCATCAGCCCAGCAGCTCCCGGGTCCCTAGGGCTGGCTGGGCTTGGTAAGGCTGCTGCAGGTGGCTGTGCGGGTTGTGGACTGCACAAGTCTAGAGTATACCAGCTGCATCATTGTCTTGTTCCTTCCAGAACAGCCAGTCAGGTCTTTCTGATAGAGACACCCAATGAGACATGACCCTTCACCTCCGGGAACGTTAAGTTCCTCCCCGACTAGGAGATAACCGAAGCAGGTGTCACAGCCCTCTTCTCAGAGTCCCTTAGGCTTCAGCCTCCATTGACGCTGACACTTTCCTTGGGAAAACTATTGATGACTGGGCAGTGGTTCTAGAATCCACGTGACTGGGTAGCATGGCTCTCTCGCTGGGGGCTCAAATACATTAGTCTTTTCATGCCAGGCTAGCTGGCTATTGAGCCCTTCAGTCAGCTAGGACCCAGGTCATGAGCTTTGTACCTGGGTTGGTAAAGCTAGAGAAACAGAAGAGGTAATATCAAATGGAAGAAATTCAGAAAACAAGAGCTTTGTTCTCTCTCTCTCTCTCTGCCTGGATTGGTAAAGCTAGAGGAACAGAAGAGGTAATATCAAGTGGAAGAAATTCAGAAAGCAAGAGCTCTTTTTCCTCTATTTCCCGCAACCCATCAATGAATGGCATTGATGGGTTGGGGAAAGAGAGAGACCACACTCTGGCTCATGGCTGTAGTTTCCTCAGCGACCCCATGGCTGCCTCTTAGGCTCTACCTACATGTTGAAGAGGATAGTGCTGAAACACCTTGACCTGCCCGCCAGGTCAGAAAGGCAAAAGGAGAGAAAGACCAGAGCTTAGGTATCAGGTCACTGGGAATGGCAGGGCCCCAGGAGGAGGTGCGTGTGGTCTGGAAGGGCAGCACAGTTCTCTCTTCAAGTGTCAACAAGCATCTACTTGTTCTTGGCATTGGAGGCTCAGGGATGGGCAGCAGCACTCCACCTCTGTGCTCAAGAAGCAATCTGTGTGGTTCAAGAACCTATCAGTGAAGCAGTTCCCGTCCCGTGGCTGGCGGTAGTGAGTGAGACAGCAGAGAAGTCTTGGCAGTTCCCATCTAGGTCACTGGGAATGCCGTCACCATGACACTGAACTTGAAGTTTTCAAGACCGATGGAAAGGTTTGGCTATGTCCTCAGAGAGACAGTGGAGACAGGGATGTAGATGGTAAACAACCCAGACTCCAACGTGGGGAAAACCAAGGGTACCGATCCCTCGTCTCATCAGTGTAGATGTGGTAGGCTTAATACAGCCCATGGCCGCAAGCAGCATCCCAGCTAATCTTCGCCACCTCATCAGCACCATCTTACAAATGAGAAAATGGGGACTCGGACAGTTTAATAAGTCATTTACCCCAAGTTAGAACAAGGACTAATTCCCAGGCCAGCCTTATCCCGTACCCCATGGCCTTTCCGCTGTACCTGCCGACTCAGACCACCTCCTCACCTGCCTGCTGAACTCACTTTCCTCTAGGGATCGACATGGGGCTCAGAACTGAGGTGAGAGCAGTGACCAAGATGAGACCTGGTCTGGGCTTCTGAGACCACGGTGCCTGGACGCCGAGGTTAAACAAGGCAGAGAGACAAGACCGAAAGATACACGTGGGGGAGTCCTGCTGCCCAGTCTGTCCTAGCTCTGCCCCCTTATCACTGCTGGACTCAGCACAGGTCTCTAGATCTGGTCCAGGGTTATTTTCTTCCTCTGTGAAACCAGAGTAGCAATGTCATCTCCACCCATTCTCAAAACTGATGAGAAACGTGCAACCCAGTTAGCCCACAGTAGGAGCTGGATAAAGGTAAGGTTGCCTGGCCTCCCCTGGGCTGCGTGTTACTTGGAAGCCTGCCTTGCTCCATAGAGAGCTGAGGGCAGCCTCTGTCTTGCCTTTGCAGTTGCCCAACTTCATCAACACCACCCTCCCGCCGCACGAGCAGGTGACAGCGCAGGAAATCGACAGCTACTTCCGCCAGGAGCTGATCTACAAGAGGAACGAGCGGATGGGGAAGAGGGTCATGGCCCTTCTGCAGGAGAATGAAGACAAGATCTGCTTCTTTGCCTTCGGAGCAGGTTTGAGCCCGAGTGGGGAGGGGGTTGTTTTCAAAAGCTTTGGGACTTAGCGATTTTTCTAGGTCCTACGCCGCCTCTATGTCATCCAGAAAGAAGCTGAGGCCCAGAAGGGGACACGGAAGCCAGCCAACATTCAACGGGAGAGGGGGAAGCCAAAGGGAGTTCTCCTGCTGCTACTCCAAAGTTCTTCCATAGTGGCTCCAGTGGGCAAGGGAGTTTGGAGAGGTGACTCCAGTTGAGGACAGGGAAATCACTGTGGCTCTTCCTGCCCCCGGGAGACCATACTGAGAACCTGGAAGTTGAGTGAGTTCCCCCTATCCAGCCCAGCTCCCACCTCACTAAAAGGATCCAGTCCACAACTAGGAGCACCAAGTAGCCCAGGGGGGGAGAAGGGGGGCTGTAGGGTCCCACAGGTTTCACAGCAAGGAGGGATTCCCATGGCGAGGCCCAAGAAATGTGTCCTACTCCAGTCCTGGTTATAGATCCCAAACCAGATCCCTCCAGGCTGCATAGCCTCGGCAAAGCCCCTTCTCTGAAGCTCACCATCCTCTTCTATAAATGGGTCGTGAAAGTCACAACTGGTCCGTGCACTGAAAACATCCACCTTATGAACTGGTTGTAAAGATTAGTGATACAATACAAACCACCTGCCACATGGTAGGTGCGCAGCGTGGCAGCCACTTTTTTTTGGTTTTATTTTTTATAAATCATCTTATTGGGGGCTCTTACAGCTCTTATCACAATCCATACATACATCCCTCGTGTCAAGCACATTTATACATATGTTGCCATCATCATTTTCAAAACATTTTCTTTCTACTTCAGCCCTTGATGTCAGCTCCTCATTTTCCGCCCTCCGCCACCCTCCCTCATGAACCCTTGATAATTTATAAAATTCACCCCCCCATGTCTTATACTAACTGATGTCTCCCTTCACCCACTTTTCTGTTGTCTTGTCCTCCAGAGAGGGGGCTATATGTAGAACATTGATATCGGTTCCCCAGTCTCCCCCAACCTTCCCCTTACCCTCCTGGTATGGCTACTCTCAATATTGGTCCTGAGGGGTTTATCTGTCCTGGATTCCCTGTGTTTCCAGCTCTTATCTGTACCCCTGTACATGCTCTGGTCTAGCCAGAGATGTTAGGTAGAATTGGGATCATGATAGGGGGGCGGGGGAGCATTAAAGAACTAGAGGAAAGTTGTATGTTGCATTGGTGCTATACTGCACCCTGGCTGGCTCGTCTTCTCCCTGCGACTTCTGTAAGGGGATGTCCAATTGTCTACAGAAGGGCTTTGGGTCTCCACTCCGTATTCCCCCTCATTCACAATGATATGATTTTTTGTTCTGGGTCTTTGATGCCTGATGCCTGATGCTTGAACCTAATGACACCTCATGATCACACAGGCTGGTGTGCTTTGTCCATGTGGGCTTTGTTGCTTCTCAGCTAGATGGCCATTTGTTTATTTTCAAGACTTTAAGACCCCAGACACTATATCTTTTTTTTTTTTAAATCTTTTGATAGTCCGGCACCATCAACTTTCTTCACCACATTTGCTTATGCACCCATCTGTAGTCAGTGATCATGTCAGGAAGGTGAGCATCACAGAATGCCAGGTTATTAGCACAAAGTGATCTTGCGTTCAAGGAGTACTTGAGTAGAGGCCCAATGTGCATGGCAGCTACTGTTATTCCAATTGTCATTCTTGTGGTCATTGATAGAAGCACTATAGTGGCAATGCAGAAGCATGAACTTGATACTTTCTTCTCTCGGCATTGGGCTTCTCCTCACCAAGGGGAGACCAGACGTACAAGTGTGGTGCTTCACCAACATTCCTCTCCCAACTGGTCTTCACTCCTTTTCCCCACTCTTTCCTCCTTCCTCTGCTGGAGGACTCCAAGCTCATGCTGGGATCAGGATAGTACATTTGCCCGCTTCACCAGGCAGGGCGTAGTGGCATTAGTGTCCCGCAATGCGCTCTTGCCCTGGTTACCCGAAATTTGGGCCAACAGACTTCACTCGCCACTTTGTGAGGATCAAAGGAGAGAGTTTGCTCAGACATGCTCAGTCCACACGGGATGCTGCCTGCATTGCTGCCATCCTCTGGGCCTCCTTGCCCCAAACCCATTGCTCTCACATTGTCCATCGAGGCCAGGCCACATGGGGTCAAGTTGAGGAATCTGTCTAACCCAGAGGAGCCCTTTGGGGCACCTTAGATCTGCCCCTTAAACACCTCAAGAGCCAGCGCTGTGTCTGTCTCTGCCTTTCCTGCTTTGTACCCCTGTGCACAGTGTTGACCCTGGGAGTGGCTCAGAAACAAATGCAGGCCCCTGAGAGAGTAGGGGTTCCTAGACTCACCCTGGAGCTCAGCCACAGCATTCTGTGGCCTCTGACAAGTCTTTCCCCTGGCAGCCTCCATGTGCCCAGCTGAACAAAAGGAGTGTGGACTGGCCTGGACCATCTCTGTTCCAGGGGCTCTCAGACACAAGTTTCCGATCCAGGAGGGTTTTCTGTGGGAAGACCCATGAGCGTGTGCTGTCCCCCCCAGCATTAATAAGGCCTCAGCCGGTCATGTGGAGATGAGTAGGCCATGGGCTAGCTGCCACACCTACCTCCTGGGAGCCTGGTGAGGGTCAGGACAGCCTTGGGGTCCGTTCAGAGAGACCGTCTCCCTCACCACCCAGTAGCCTCCCCGGTAGTCTAATCTGTGTAGGAGCAGCCCCGGTTGACTTCCAACGGGGTTGGGGGGTGGGGGGAGGGGGCATTCAGAGACTGTCTACCCTCAGATTTCTCTAAGGTCCAGGAGGAACCCCACAGGAGCCCAGTCTTTGAGGGAAGCAACAGAGGGAAGTGGATTTCCACATCGTCAGCCCTGACTTTGGCAGGGTCTCGCCTCCCCACCACCCACGTCAAGGTCCACGGCCTGATCCACCGTGGATCTGGGGGCAGCTGACCCACCCTTGTGCTTGTGGGGCAGGTAATTTGAGAGCCCCCGGAGAGCTGTGGACTCTAGTCTTTTGTCCCCCAAAGTTCCAAATCCACAGTTATCCCTCAAGCACCCGGCCAACACCCAGGCTTCACACTCAACCTCAGCTTCTTCCCCGTCTCCCAAATCCAGGCACATCCTCTTGATGGAGCACCAGAAGCCCTCAAACCCACGCCCCTCTCAGCCACATCCACTGTCACTGCCCCCGGCCAACCACCTATCAGCTCTAGTTTCCCCACCTTCTCCTGGTCTCCACTGTGTGGCCTGCGATGGCGCTGCATCTCCCACCCAGGCCTGGAGCTCTGGCTCATGGCTTGATCCTCCGCGTGTCTTTGGTGACTTGTCCTCACTCTTGGGGTTGGGGGTGGGTGGTGGGGGTAAGTGAACGATTGAACCAAGGAACGGATACTGAGCCAGGCTTCCCTGCTCATTGGCCTCAGGTCCTGGGGCGTTGACTAGAGCAGCCACCGAGGCGATTCTGACTCATGGCGACCTCATGGCGCCGGCGCAGAGACCTGCTTCCTCCGGCTTTGTTCAGAGGCAAATCCCCGGTGTTTTCTTTCCTGGTGCTGCTGGGCGGGTTCAAACCACCAGCCATGAAATTCACAGTCAAGCGCAGACTAGCAGCAAAGTCAGGACAAACTGAGTCCCCTCAGCTATCACCACCCCCACACCAAAAACAATAGGTCAGGAGTCATTGTGTCTGCAGGCTGCTGGCACCTGCCACGCCCCCGGCTCAGCCACACCACAGACACTGTGCCCTCCTGGGGCCACGAATTCTCTCTGGGCCCAAGAGTTCCAAGGCTGGCTCGAACCAGCCTGCCTCATCCTAACCACTGGCAGGACACCGGCCATATCCCACACAAGGCAGGGACACAGCCAGGCCTGGTCCAAGACCATGTTCACTGGGTCCCGGGCCTGCACAGAGCCAGCGTGCTGGCAGGCGTGTGTACACACGTCATTTGTGGTGGGAAAAGGCCACTCCTTCCTCATTACATTCTTATGGTCATGTAACTCCCAAGTCCCACATCCGATGACAGGCTGAGGATTTATGTAGGCCAGGCCTCACGCTCCTGGCGGCGGGTGAACTCCTGCCCCCCTGCTCCATCCTCCCTCCTGCGCTGGATGTCTCTGGGTGACCATCTCAGAGCCACTTCCACTGTCAGGCAGCAGGGACTTCAGGGATCAGCTGGCTCTCGCTGCCCAAGTCCTGCCAAGTCCCTGGAGAAGCCCTCAGGCCCCCAGACCATGGAAGAGAGAAGCGGTCTAGGTGACTGGAAGTCCTTCCAGCCATGCCCTGGACTCGTACCTACTCATGCCCGGAGCGTTCAGCTCCAATGTCGGTGGGCATCTTTGGGCAACAGAGATAGGATCAGTGGACACTCTGGTCCACTCCAACCCAGCCTCACCCAGGGCCCAAGCCCCTGTAGAGATCCTGCCATTCCAGAACAAACCCAGCCAAGGCTTCTACGGCCTCTGTGGCCGGGGGCCCGGAAGAGGACCCAGCAAGCTAAAAGTCAGCAGCTTTGCCAGGCCCATCCTGTAGCCCACCCCAGCCCCGGAGTCCTGTCCTGAGACTCTGCGAGGGCACACTGGGATTCCCAGTGCTGACGCCAGTCCTCCGGATGCTTCCGAGGACAAGGTGAGGGTTTGGGGCTAAGGCATGACTCTACTGCTATCAGTAGAGACCCTGGGAAAGCCACCTCGCCTCCGAGGGCCTCAGCGTCTCACCTATAAAATGGGAATGACATTCCAGTCTTCTAAAAGTGTGCTCTATGCTTATTTGAAATCAGAGCTTTAAAATTCTATCACATCGTGGGCAGGGGGCTGGAGGGGGGCTCATACTAGGAACCCGCTTCTAGGTGCCGGCCCCTCCTCTGGGCTTGGGTCTTACTAAGCTCGTTTTTGGTGCACTGAGGCCCAGAGAAGACATGACTTCCCCCATGCAAGGCAGAGCATGGGTTTGCAGCAGGGTTTCTTGAGGCCCAGTCGCAGACTGCCTCCTGCACCCACTG